GCGCGTGTATAAGGCTGGAATGCTTGATGCTATGCGTGCAGACTTACATATATACATATGTATGTATTTGCATATATGTATTTGAGGGCTATTTAAGAAGAAACAAATTTAAACTTATAAAATTATTCGACTAAGAAAATGAAAAGTATTAAGTGCCATTCAGTCAAGCTCGCACCTTCCCAATAAAATATCTATTTTATAAAAAACGAAATATGTATGAAAAAAAAAAAAAACATAGTAGAGGTTCGAACCTCCCTACTCTAACGTTACTTGCGTCGCCCTTAGCACCCGCGCCATTCCTTTGCTCGAGCACTCAGCTGCTAAAAAAGAATAGCTTAATAAGAGAGCGTCATCAGACAAAACTACAGTAACGGAAAGTCCAGAAATCAATCGAAATTCTAAGAATGTGAGAAAAGGCGCGCTTCTGTCTGTACGCATAGAATAGACGATGAGTGTGTGCACATGTATAGTAAAATCGCGCTGATCTGCTGCTAGCTTGAAGCCGGTATCCAATATATGGATATACATAAATACATGTATATTATTAAAAGTCAAAATTGTATAAATTATATACATATGCATGTAATTTGAATGCAATTATGCAATGATCATAGCAATAGCTATCGATGATTTTCCAATTTTAATGGGATCATGCCCTGTTTTTTGTTGCGCACTAGACTTGAAAATTGCACTATATACTCTGGTTGACAGCTTTTGGGCTGTGAATGAGTCTTCTGCAATCGGTATCGCCCGACTGCAACGTTCTTACTTGTTTTATGTGGTTTTGTGCGAGGGCATATTCAGTGTTACTATTGATAAAAATGCCGCGTCCTAGAAGATCTAATCTTTCCCGGCGGACCCATAATGCAATTATGCATCGGAATATCGCGTGTCAATTATCTGACGAAGAACGAGAAATCGCCCGAGAAGAGCGCCGCGTTAGTACCCAGCAAAGAAGGGCCTTAATTCATGCTTCTCAAAGAGAGGCAGCCCGTGAAACGGCAATAAGAAATGGTTCAGGGATTGAATCGATCTAAATGCAAAACTTGAATTCTTACGCTCAAAAAAGTGAAAATTACAGGGTATTTTTTCGATGTGCCACGCCCTTTAGGAGGCGTACAAATTATTTTTGGGGCATCAATAGGCTACCAGTAAGTCTAGTCCGATTTGCAAATTATAAAATTATTTCACGCATCTTTATTGAATCGAAGCATCCGCTTAAGTGAAAAATTTCAGCATTCTAGACTTACTACATTAGGAGATACAGTTTTATCCGATTTGCCACGCCCCCAATAGGCGGAGATATATCCGCCATAGCTTGTGATCTTGGGTGGTCGACGCGGACCTACATACCGAATTTCAACTTTTTAGCTCTTCAACTAACAGATTTCTGCATTTTCCGATTTTCCACGCCCCTAGTGGGCAGATCGGGAAATTTGAACACTTTATAAATCGGAGATATACACGAGTATGTGTTCCAAATTTCAAGTCTCTAGTTTCAATAGCGCCGAAATAGACTGCGTTCATACGGACAGACGGACGGACAGCAAGACGGACATTGCACAAAACTTACTTATTTATTTCACTTTCGTGAATGAGTATAAAAATATATATATACTAGCTGACCCGGCAAACGTTGTTTTGCCTACAGCGAATGCTTATGTGCTATGGTTCATTCAGCCCAGATAATAATTTTACACTGTTTCAGCACAGTAGCCATGGATGATTCTTTTTTAATATTACAAACTGCATATCGATTATTTTGAATGTTCAGTGTCAGCTTGAATGCCGAATGAGCTGTTCTGCATCCATCTAATAAAGTAACTGCAATGCCAGATGATTCAACGGCTAATGCAATGCTTTTTTTTGCTCGTATCTCCGCAAGAAGTAACGAAATAAAGAATGTTTTGGTACCCATTAAGTAAATTGATAAAAATTTATAAGGTTCACTTGGCATTGGTAGCAATGAACCGACTTTGTGGTAAGCTTTGCATTTGATTTTGAATGTGGAATTAAATTGTTGACCATTTGCAGCAACTATTTCCGGTGCTCCAAACGATCTCAATTGATGAAGAACAGGGAAGAACCTGGATCGGTACCAATAAGGCAGCCGTGCAATGGTTCCGGCGGTGTTTCAATTTCTGAGAGTTTTACATTTCCTGATCAGCCTCATTTTTAAATTTAAGGGCATAGCAGTGCAGTCATTCCTTATCTAATGTACCAATGACCACTTTGGAATGAGCATAGTATTCAACATCAAGCTTATACGGAAATCTCGTGAAGAAATGAATGCGATGTAAATGCTCGAAGTACTTGCTGACGTTGTCGGTCAATTTTTCTACGTCTGTTGACTACGAATCTGCTCGCTTCTCTTCGTTCTAATTGTCTTTGCTGGTTTCGCTCATCTCGTAACTCTTGCAATTGTGATGCACGTAACTGCGCCACGCTTACACAGACATCTGCATTGCTGTGTTGCCTATCTTCATCTGCTATCTTGCATGCTTCTAGATTTGAGTGCTCGACGACTCAAATTTCCCGCTTGCGTTTTCGTGTTAATCAAACATACATAAATCAAGTTGAAAAACTGTTTCGTGATAAACAGTGACGTATTGCTTATTATTTTAGTTACCTTTTATATTAATAAAACACGTATATTTATTAATCACGTTCCTGTATTAATGAAATGTGCATGAATTATTGTTTACCATGAGAGCATGACCGAAAACTGTCACTGTTATCAAGTCTACTGGGTAAATTCTCAATGACAATGCAAAAATCCTCAATAGCAATCAATGCTTCATTGTACATTGCGTCACTGAATGATATCGTAAGGTCGTCGCGTCAAAAAACAAAAACAAAACAAGTAAGAAAGCTCCAGTCGAGACTGCTCGACTAGGAGATACCCTGAACCCTCCAAGCTGATATTCTAATCATTCTGGACTTCTTTTATGCACACATACATACACATGCACTTATACGCACGCGCTCTGCTAACTGCGCAGTAAGCAGCGGCTGCGCTTGGGCTGCGATGCAATGTGGGCAATATTATTTGAATTTATTTATTGAATAATTTCTTTTGTAGATATACAATCTTAATGAAACTTTCAGAGCGTAATCATAATGTGTGTACATTCCAAAGCACAACTCTCTAGTACTTGAAATGCGGTTTTTACAAATTAAGGGCGAATGGAGCGTGGTATCCAAAATCTGTAAATTACAAAATCTTTGTATCCATTAACTTTATATACAACGCAAATTTGAAGTCTCCAGGTCTAAAAGTGTTCAAATTAGGCTGAAAAACAATGTCGATTTTTCGATTATTCTCGATAAGAAGGTTATCGGGTGAGTCATCGAAAAAATAAAGCAAACTCGTACTGCCTATTGTATACACGAGTATGCATGCCAAATTTCAGCTCTCTAGCTCTTATATCTTCTGAGATCCTTTTGCTCATACGGACGGACGGGCAGACGGACAGGGCTATATCGACTCAGCTCATCGTCCTGATCAAGAATATATATACTTTATGGGGTCTGCGATGCTTCCTTCTGCCTCTTACATACTTTTCACAAAACCATTATACCCTGATTTCCCAGTTTCAATGGGTTCAGGGTATAAAAATGAATGGTGGCCCCAACCTTTAAACTTAGGTTCATAAAAAATGTTGGCCGATTCTCAGACCTACCCGACCTGCACACAAAATTGCGGAGGAGTTTGGTAACAAACCCGGCGACACGAGAATTTTATATATAAGATATATACAGTTATAACGACAATCAACCTGGGGACCAGAATTTTTGTCGCTATAACCGTACAGACGCTATAAGCGGAATCGTTATACATCTATGTTGTATTGTTGCGATATTACGTTGTTCTGTTTATACCCTTTGTAAAAGGGGTTTTCAAGTACTAGAGACTTGTGCTTTGGAATGTACACACATTTTAACTATATGAATCGGCTCTGAAAGTTTCATTAAGATTCTATGTCTACAAAAGAAATTATTCAACAAAAAAAATTCTCATCATATTGCCCACATTGCATTGCAGCCCAAGCGCAGTCGCTGCTAACTGTGCAGTCAGCAGAGCGCGTGATTATACGAGTCGGGCAGTCTCGACTAGAGCCTTCTTACTTGTTTTGGTTGATTTTTGTCCAAAAACTCTAGAAATTCAAGATTCAAATTTGTCGGAGAGTTATCAATTCTCGCGTCCTCAATTGAATTATTTTGCATATCATAAATTTCAATCATCATGCTTTTGACGGTCTCCAAAATATGATTTTTCGGGTAAAACGGGTTGTGCGGCGTAACCCGCACCCGCCCGCACCCAACCAGAAACTCGATTTTTCAGCCCATACCCACGGGTAACCGCGGGTGCCCATCGGTACCCGATAAAAACCCGGTCCGTGCCCACCTCTACTTGATGCAATAGCGTTGAGTAAAAGTGGTAGCTCGTAATAATCGATCAGGGTATTCTTCAATATGCCACATCCCTCAAGAGGCATAACATCTCTGTATTTTTGGGTCTTTGATAGAGCAGGTTATTCAAATGTGAAGGTTCTAGCTTTTAAATTTTGTGGTTTGTATCCGACATAGCTTTTTTTCATTTGAAAAATCACTATATCTTCATTTTTGCCACGCCTCTATTTGGCGTAGACATATAATTTTTTCATTCATCTCTATAGAATCGTGAATGGACGTAGATATGTCGATCTTAGCTTTTTGATCTTGGGTGGTCAACGCGGATCTATAATTCAGAATTTCTGATTTTAAGCTTTTCAAATGCATTTTCCGATTTGCTACGCCCCTAGCGGGCGGAGCTGGAAAATTTGAATACTTTAAAGTCTCTAGCTTCAATAGCGCCGACGGTCATACGGACAGATAAATGAGCATCCAGAAAGACATTGTACATAACCAATATACTCATTTCACTTTCGTAAATGAGTATAAGAAATGCTTTCGATTTCTCCTAAGATACATCTAGTTAATTAAACTATGTAACTCACCTCTGATGCACTTGTTGCCACAGAACTCAGGCTTGGCGACATTGGAGCTGACACTGATTGCAAAGGACTCGCCGTACTTGCGCCGGAAAGGTTAGAGTTGCGCATGGTGTTGATAATTCCCGAGGTTCGCCCCGTTATAGATGAGTTTCCATTTGAATTGGGTTTGTTAAAAAAACTTTTTGGCTGATCGCTAACACTTTGGCCATCCAAATCATTTCCAAAAAAACTTGAGCTACAATTTCCACCAAACGGCGACAAAAGCGCCGATTCCTCGGAATGCATTAAGGTTTTGCCAATAATATTCGAAGCAGTGTCACCACCTCCGAAACTGTTTGGTCTTTCGTTATGAACATTACTGTCATTCACGTCTGAAGCACATTGTAAATTGCCTGTTGAAGCCGAGTTAGTTGCAGCTTTATTCTGTGCATATAGAGTACTAAGTTTAAGGCATTACTTTACTATTATCTAGTTCATAACACTCACTTTGAAATTTTGGCATTCCCAGATGGAAGGCTTGAGCGATTCACTGAGATACTGTCTCACTTGGTTTTTTTGCTTCTGGATGACGTGATATCTCGTTGGATTTTCTAGAACGGTGCTCACCTATTGTTAAGAAAAAGTTATGAACTATTTTTATTATTAACGTTCTTTATCAAAAAGGTAATTTTCTTTTGCAATGAAAACCTTTAAATCATCATCATCGATTAGAAGGGTTACAAAATATGTACTTTGTTTGAATCAGAAACTAGACACGTAATTCGAGAATGCCTAATCTGCCATAATTGTTCACGAAGAAGATATTGGTTTAGTCCGTCCTTCCACATGAATGAAAATTTTAGAGTTTGATACACATGTGGAGTTTTAAGTCTGGTTATTACATCTCTTTTTATTCAAGATGCTTGAATTGAAAGCATACGCTGGACAGCTTGCAAATTGGAGTTATTTGATACAATCCATATCGGGTCAAGCTGTATCTTGTTAAGTTTTAGAGCTTAGGTATTCACCTGTAGTACTTGAGGAGGCACATCCACGCCTATACTCTGCAAAGGAACCTTAAGCGCAACAGGACTAGATACTGATAGCCTATCCTTCTGGCCAGGCTGCTGATTCTGATGCTGCTGATGCTGTTTCTGTTGCTGATTTTGATTTAGGCTACCACTGCCGCAGTCGCTGCTTCTATTACTGCCGCTAGTTGCGTCATATTGAAAGCCTGCCGTGGACATCCCGAACGCATTAAGCATTGTTTGATCCTGCCTATTCATATGTTGTTGCTGCTGCTGCTGCATTAGTATTTGCTGCTGTTCCTGCTGCTGCTGTTCACGTTGGAGTTGAAGCTTTAATTGTGTGCGAGACGTCGGTATTGCAGTTTTAAAAGTTGGTCTAATGAATAGAAAGCATTTAATATCAAAATACATTTATATATACTATACATATAATATCTTTTAAATAAATGAATGAATAGCTTAGTCAAAAATACAATGAACCCTATATATATATATATATATATATATATATATATATATATATATATATAAATACCTACCCACCCGTTAGTGGAGGCAGGCCAAAAACGCGAGTATCTGTTGGTTCCTTAAGGTTAATATCACCCAAATCAACGATGCTTGGGTCCATTTCAAGTATCATTTCCAAATCTTTATCAATGCCAACACTAACACGAATGTTCGTTGTTGATTTCTCATTGATTCTTCTTTGAATGCAACTTGATATAGCATTCATCTCATCTTGTTCCATTGAATTTGTTGGCTCGACACCGACCTCAATATCAGATACCAATGGCTGTTGCTGCTTCTGTTGTTCTTGTTGTTGTGATTCGTCGCTCGGCGACATCTGCAATGTCTGAACACGTTTTAAGAACTCTTGAAACTCCTGTAGACTTTCCTCCGATGTTTCCTTTGCATGCTCATTTCGTATTCTGTTACTCTCCAATATTTGATCACATATCTCAAAATTGTTTTGTGTTTCATCAACAAAACTACTGGAGCCATTATTATTTTTATTACAGACTTTATTCATCGTCTTTTTAGCAAAATAGGAAAACATTTTCTACAGTATTTTAGGGTTTCTGTTCCTTTATTTTACTCAACATCTAAAAGGGCCTTGATCTTGTCGATTGAACGTTCAAATAATAATGCGGAAAATTGAGAGAATTGTTTAACGCGAGAATGTATATTCACATATACATATGTCTATATATACATATATATAGCATTCAATAGTGCACAAATAAGTATACATATAAGATATTTTTATACACACGAAAAATTCCTCTCTGGTTCATCATATTGGCTACAGTATAGACTTGCGCCTTATTGAAAAAAAAATCGGTATTTTCTCTTAAATGTCTATTCTTTAATTACTCGGTTCCAAAGGAATGAACTGATCGCGACTGCTTCATATTTTATTTTTCGAATATAGTTAGTAAGGTACTTAAAAAATGGCATATACTTGTAACTTTGATACACTCTTATATGATCTGTATTTTCATCAAAATTGAAGACAAAAATTAATTTGATATTTCATGTATGCTCATATGCAATTTATACAATTTCGGTTTTTGTTAAAATTTTCCCCCCACCCCCTTACCATCACTTTTGTAAATGGCGTATTTAAAATACTAGAGACTTGTGGTTTAGCAAATACATGCATATCCATGTTATAATCATAATCTGAAAGTTTCATAAAGATCGTATGTCCACAAAAAAGTTATTTAACAATTAAGTTCTCATAGTAAGCGCACACTGCAGCCCATGCGTGTTTATGCGTGGGTGCTTGTGTGTGTATGTGTTTGTGTATGTGTGTGTGTATGCGTTTGTGTGTGTATGTGTTGTAGTATATTGTATAACATATAAGCATATGCTCACAATATTGTAGTGTATACAATATATGAAGTTGATATATGCCCGAAATATAAGTAAGAGTATCATGCTCACAACATAGCAACACTTTGTTGCTTTATTTATATTATAACAACTATACATAACTTATGTATAGACCGGCCTGCAGCGTGGGATCTGCAACGTAAGCATTGTTATGTTCTTGTCCACGCCGCAGCTTAAACGCTAAAATGTATATGCCTTCTGCATATGGATACAAACATATATACACACATACAGCATGCTATATACTCCCATTCTGCCGCTGCTTTTAGCGACAGAATTCTTTATGTAAACTTTATGTATTTTAGGCTAAGACTTTATTTGAATAAAATACGGAGAGCATTAGCTATCCAGCACTCAGAAAACAAAGACGTTGTTTACAGTGTGTGTGTATGCGTGTGTGTATGCATGTGTGTGCATGTATGTCTGTGTGCGTGCGTGCGTGTGTTTTTTTTTTTATATTCGTTTATTTACAATCTTATAATACTACAAATTGCAAGTTGAGTGGTGGCTCGGATAGCGCGCGATGCTTGCGGGGCTGCAGTAAAGCATTGCTTCGCAAGCACTATGCGCTACCTTAGCCTGGTACAGCTCGTCTACTCATTCGCTCGACTCTGCGCAGCTCCATCATCACTGTGGCCGCGAAGGTGCTTGTTAGTTCCCAAGCTTCCTCCGATTCCAGCATGGCGTTGACTATGTTGTCCGCTCTGATGGAGCGGCCCAGTGCCTCTTCTAGACGACGCCTCTCCTCCAGGAACCGTCCACATACGAAAAGGATGTGGTTGGCGTCTTCCACAAGCCCTCGCCCGCACCAGGGGCACTCGTCAGATTCCTCGTGGCCAAAGCGCTTCAAATAGCTCCGAAAGCATCCATGTCCCGAGAGGATCTGCGTAAGGTAGAAGTTTACCTCGCCGTGTTTGCGGTCGACCCATGGTTCAAGCTCCGGGATGAGCTTGTGCGTCCACCGCCCTTTAGCTGAGCTATTCCACTTTCTTTGCCATCGTGCAATGCTGTTCGCCCTGATAGCGTTGAGTCGCGCAGGCGCGTGCGAATTCCGCTCCACGGCTTCGGCGACCATGTACTCCAGTAGTACCATACCAGCTATGACGAGCGCCGCGTCATCGGAGATAGTCCTGAAAGCGCAGCTAACTCTGATTGCGCTCAGTCTGTAGATCGCACAAATGCCCCGGCTGTAGCTCGGCGTTGCCATCGCTCTTGCCTATATTGGCGCAGCATAGAGGATGACGGACCTAATGACGCTCATTAGAAGAAGACGTCGTTGCTGTTTAGGTCCCCGCGTGTTAAGCATAATTCTCGAGAGAGCTCTACAAGAATCAGCTGCCTTTTTATGCACATACTCTAAGTGCTCGCGGAAAGTTAATCTTGTGTCTATCATGACACCAAGATACTTTATCGCCCTCTTTGACGCAATGGTGACGCTGCCGATCTTTATATTGGCAGTTTCCACTCTTTTGCGACTGCTGACTAGGACAACTTCAGTTTTGTGTGCCGCTAGCTCGAGCCCAGTTCCAGTCAACCAGCTTCGTATGCGATTGATACTTTCGCTGCACATATCCTCTGTATCTTTGAGCTCCTTTCCTATGGCTACGACAGCTACATCATCAGCAAAGCCAATGGTGTGCGCACCTGCTGGTAGTTCCAAGCGCAGTACGCCGTCGTACATGATATTCCATAGGAGAGGCCCCAGCACTGAGCCTTGGTGTACTCCAGCTGACACTGTATGAGTTTGGGGACCCTCACTCGTATTGTATACCAGTGTTCTTCCTCTGAAGTAACTCTTTATTGTTTCTTTAAGATATTTAGGGATATTATATTGTGACAGCGCATTCAGTATCATATCCCAACTAGCTGTATTGAAGGCATTCTTTACGTCCAGAGTCGCAATAATGCAGTATTGCTTCGTCCCATGCTTCCATCTTGTGCCATGGATGGCGGAAGTGGCCAGACCAACAACTTTGTTTAGCGCATCCGTTGTTGACCGGGCCTTCCGGAATCCAAATTGATTTGGTGACAGGCCTCCGGCGCTAGTAATCGCAGTCTCCAGTCTAAAGCAGATCAATTTCTCAAACACCTTTCCCATGGTGTCTAAGAGACAGATCGGTCTGTATGAAGATGGCTCATCTGGTGGTTTGCCAGCCTTGGGTAGCAACACCAGGTTCTGGGCTTTCCATTTTGCCGGGAACGTGTCTTGAATTAGACATTCGTTGAATGCGAACGTACTAGGCTGCAAGGCGAGGGCTAGCTTTAGCGCACGATTTGGGATCCCGTCCGGCCCTGGAGCAGTGTTGGTTCTAAGACCCCGGAGAGTTACTATGATTTCTTCCTCTGTGACTAAAACAATTTCAGTGCTCGTTGAGCCCTGATCAGCAGACTCGGACTCAGGGGCGTGAATGGAGCTTAAACTTTCTGGAAAGAGCGTTTCCACAATCGATTTAAGCTCCAGACGATCCGTAGGCTGCACCTGTCTACCTGCGTATAGTCTTTTAACTACTATCTTATATGCCCTGCCCCAAGGGTCATATTCGGCTGAGTCGCACAACTCTAAAAAGCATTCTCTTTTGCTTGCCCGAATGGCCCTCTTCAGCTGTCTTCTAGCTGCCTGGTAAGCTAATTGTTTCTAAAAAGTATCTAGCCGATACGCCTCCCTCCAAAAGGTTGACGCCCTGGCAGGTGGCTCACCTATTGTGAATAGAAGTGCCGTATGATCGCTGCCCGTATAGCTATCGCAATGGCTCCATGTTGCTCCCCGAAAGAGGGATGAAGTGACAAAAGTAATGTCGATAACAGATCCGTATCCCGCCCGACTGAAGGTGTACTCGTGGCCAGTGTTGAGCAGTGCAACATCTAGTGTCGCGAAAATCTCCAGTAAGATACGGCCTCTGACATTTGTTGTGTGGCTACCCCATTCTAACGCCCATGAGTTAAAATCTCCTGCTATAATGGCCTTCCGACCCCTAGCATCCTCGGCAAGCTCGTCAAGCGCCGTTGTGAAATCACTGTAGAGCCATAGGCTACCGTATTGGCTACGTACGAACCCATTAAATGACTTAACATTCGAAAGGACATTGGTTGTGTTGCCACATACCCACAAGACCGCTTTGCCATTAGCATCTGTTGCTCATGTCCTAGGGCAGCTGGTTCTACAGTGGTGAGGCTCGCTGAGAAATGCTACGTCTATACATTTTTCCTTTATGGTCTGCTCTCGAAGATCTTGGGCAGCAACACAATGATTTAAGTTAAGCTGAAGGAACCTTAACATTTAATTTTACGAGCAGCCTCGCGGTAGGATGGGCACTTGAAGCTGCCTGCTGAGTGGTCTGAGCAGTCTCGACTATAGCTTTCTTACTTGTTATTAGTTGTGTTTAGGGTAGTATCTAGTCGAGCACTCTCGACTAGAGGTTTCTTACTTGTTATACCCTGAACCCATTGAAAATGGGAAATCAGGGTATAATGGTTTTGTTAAAAGTATGTAACAGGCAGAAGGAGGCGTGGCAGACCTCAAAAAGGGTATATATTCTTGATCAGGGCGACGAGCTAAGTCGATCTAGCCCTGTCCGTCTGTCTGTCCGTCCCTATGTATTAACGCGTCGATCTCAGAAGATATTAGAAGTAGAGTCTTGAAATTTTTTTTCCTAGGTCCGTGTATATCACGCGCATATCAAGTTTTTCTTTATATATCGATAACTACTCCCGATATTTTATTATCGATCAAAAACCTTATCGAAAGCTAGTTATTTAATTAATGGATATTAATTCATGGATATTATAAGTAAATTACAACAAAAATCGAAATTATATAAAATACATATAAATCTACATTTAAAATTTGGAAGCTCTAGCTCTAAAGGTGTAGGATATTATAAGTAAATTACAACAAAAATCGAAATTATATAAAATACATATAAATCTACATTTAAAATTTGGAAGCTCTAGCTCTAAAGGTGTAGGAGATATAATTAAATAACTAGCTTTTTTTTTTTGAAAAAAATTAACATCAGCTGTACCGATCGGGATTCGAACCGCGACTTCTCGATCAAGCGTCATGCCGCTAACACACTACGCCACCTCACTTCTGGACGCGGCGATGGCAAAACTCAAATAGATTCACTGCTGCTCTACCAAAACTAAACCAAACTAACAGCTGATG